CGGGCGCTCGGGTGCATACGAATAGGGACGGGCGAGGGAGGAGGGGCGCTGACCACGGGCGACTACGCGTCGAAGGTTCGACGACGACTACTCGCCGCCTGGGTCGTTTGGGGCGCGCGGCTCCGTCGAGGACCGGGCGCGCCCCCTACCCGGCGCGGCGTAGGTCCCACTCTGGCGAGAAGAGGGGAGGCACGGTCGACAGCCCGATCCATCAACTACACTCATCTTCTGGTGCTTGGCCCCGTGCAACAGCGGTCCGGCAGGCTGCCCCCAAGGCCCCCCGGGCCGCTGCGGGTTTGGGAGTTATGCTTAGGCACAGCTTCGGCGATGGCAGCCCCTCTCTGGGGTGTTGCATAGGCGGGGAGTCTCCCCCGCTGGTCTCCTCCTTCCCATTGTTTTCTTTTCTTTTGAGAGCAGGACGCCGGGTTTGTCTTGTATGTGCATGTCGGGCCTGGGTGTGTGCGAGGGGCAGAGGGGCGGGGGCGTGCAGGGCAGAGGCCCAACGTCGGGCGGCTTGTCGGGGTCCGGAGAATTCGAGGGGGGAACGAGGAGGGGGGAATGGGCGGTCGGCGTCGAGTAGAGCGACAGGTGCGTACGGGGTAGCCGTCACTTTCCCGCCTCGAAAGGGCGGGGCTGTCCCGGAAAGTGAGAAACGCCGGGCAGCGTGACGCATTACTGAACCCTCCCATACGTGCTCGTGCTCCTCCTTTGCTGTCCCATCTCCCCATCTCTTTCCCGCCTGGGCGGGGCGGTGGGCGGGCGCGCGGTGCGGCGTGGCGTGTGCGTGTGCGCGACTGCGACGAAGGACCGCTCGCAGAGGACCATTGGGTTTGTACTATTAACAACGAAGGCGCTCTCAAAAATATATTACACCAAAAGGAGGGCTACACGACGCCCTCTACGCTGGATTCGAGGTTTGAGGGGGGTAAGGTATGGTCGTCACGGATCCGGCGCTGCGACCATACCTTACCCCCCTCAAACCTCGAATCCAGCGTAGAGGGCGTCGTGTAGCCCTCCTTTTGGTGTAATATATTTTTGAGAGCGCCTTCGTTGTTCATAGTACAAACCCAATGGTCCTCTGCGAGCGGTCCTTCGTCGCAGTTCGCGCACAGGC